TCAGGCGTCGACCTGATCATCTGATGCAAGCAGGTGGGATGAGGAGCGGGGAAAAGGGGAGAGCATCACAGCATCTCAGCAAGACACTGGCATGCCGTCAGTGAGCTGCACTACCAACTGTCTGTCCGTCTGTCCGTCCGCCCGACTATCCGTCCGTCTATCTGTCTGTCTGTCTGCCTGCCTGTACAACCCCTCCTCACCTGCGTCTCTTCCATCTCTCTCTTGGTCAGCTGCATGTCGCCAGTCAGCTCTCGCACTGCCAGGCCCAGAGGGACTAAGCGCCTCCCAAACACTGCTGCCAAATGCGATGCATATCTGGCTAACAAACCACACAGTGCCTCACCTGCGTCTCTTCCATCTCCTTCTTGGTCAGCTGCATGTCGCCAGTCAGCTCTCGCACCGCCAGCCCCAGAGGGGCCAGGCGCCTCCCAAACGCTGCTGCCATCTCCGCTGCTAGCGCCTGTCGGGAAGGGGAAACCACACACACAGATGCATCATGCACGGTCAAGAACGAAAAGAGGATATGTGGCCATAAGACACCAACATTTGCTTTTCCTTCTCCCTACATGTGTATGTATGCCCTTGCTAACCATTGCGCACCAAAGCAGGCAAAGCATGCTCGCCGCTGCGCCTACTCTTCCCACCAGCACCACCACTCACCTTCATAGGAGCCACGTAGACAATCTTTAAGTCGTTCTTTATAATGCTTTTTATTACATGTGTGAACCCTCTCGTGACAGCCAACTCTTGCCACACCATAGCCGCCACCCACCTTCATGGGAGCCACATAAACGATCTTGAAGTCATTCTTCTGCAGCACCCCATTCTTGAAATTGGCTCCGACCTGTTACGGACGAATGAAGGATGAGAGAGTGGTGTAATGTAAAGCAGTCAATTATAGCACTCGAATCAACGATGGTTGGGTCACCCAGTACGGGAGTGTGTGATGTGAATGTGAATGTGAATGTGAATGTGAATATGAATGTGAATGTGAATGTGAATGTGAAGTTCAGACTATGGTTTTTGAGTCGACTCAAAAGTCAACACGGGAGTGTCTGATGTGAATGTGAAGTTCAGATCAGACTATGGTTTTCACTGAAGAACGCTACCTTGTACAGAGCCAGTGTGAAAAAAAAGTCAACATAGAGCACATCTTAAACCCCTTCAATCTTCACCTTACTTAAAAAAGCAAAGAAAAGTGCCACCACGTAACACCACACCACCCCTCGGGCCCTCGGTACACCAGATAATTATTTCCCCACCTCATGCAGAACTGTGATCATTGCGATGTTGGTCTTGCCTGCTCCGGTTGGCGCACACACCTGTGAATAGGGGTGAGAAGCGAACAGATTTTGTTTTTATTCTCTAGACTAACTGACAGAAATGCCGCCCAAGGGTTCATAGTTTGGGTTTAGGGTTTGAAGCCCCAAATGTGGCTCTAGATGCGGTTGAGGATTCTCAGTGGAACAGAAGGTGCGCTGGTATTTGGGGTTCTCAACGCGCTTGAGCATCTGACTGAAAGCCCGTACACATGAATCTTCGCATGCCCCTTTGAAGCCCTAATCTTACCAGGAGGTTCTCACTGGAGTTGAAGGCACGTTAATAAATGCAGCTCTAAATAAATGTGGTTGAGAGTCTGAAACCCCTCAAACACCATCTGAGCGAACGGTTCCATCTCACCCACCCACCCTCACCAGCTTCTCCTGTGCTCTCTTCCCTCAGAACCCCATGCACCTCCTATCCTCATACCCCTTATAAGCCTTCTCTTGGAACACATACCAGGAGATTCTCATTGGAGTAGAAAGCACGCTGGTAGATGCGGCTCTGGATGCGGTTGAGTGTCTGAAACCCCTCAAACGCCTTCTGAGCGAACGGCTCCATCTCCCCCACCCTCACCAGCTTCTCCTGTGCCCTCCCCGCGCTCCCCTCCGCCACAGCCGGCGGCACATGCACCTCCTCATACCCCTTATAAGCCTTCCTCTTAGTACCCACAGGCAGCGCCCTCACCGGCACAGCATCATCCCCTGTGCCTATCAGAGCATCAATCACCCCTCCGAATTTATTCTCCCCGGCCTCCACCAGCGCCGAAAACCCCCCTGCGCCGAGCAACCATGCTAGCTCCCCCTCTACCCCCCCTCTCCCCGCTCCTCCTCCCCCCACTCCACCTCCTCCTCCGGTTTTCGCAGCGGCTCGAGCGATTTTCTTATCTTCTTTCTTCCGGAGCTTCTCCAGCTGTTTCTCTGACTCGGTCTGCACGGTGACTGTAGCGCCGTGCCGCATGTGGCTGTTGCTGGCGCCGCTGCTTGCTCCGTCCGCCTCCACTGCTTCTTTCAGGGCTGACAGGGCCGACTGAGCTGCAGACACCAGCGCCTTGCGATGCTGGTGGAAGAGGGGAGGGAGAGGGATTGGGGACACGGGAGGAAGGGGGGTGTGACAGTCTCGACTACCTTCTCCAGCTGTTTCTTGTGACAGGACTGTGCTGCGAACACAAGAGCTTTGAGGTACAAGGTTTGGAAATACTGAGGTACAAGGTGTTGCTTCCTAGCAGGCACGATTGGTACCAGTTCAGCGTGCATGCAATCTTACCTGCAGCAGCTGCTGGATGAACTCGAAGCCTTGATCGCCCACCAGGTTGAACAGCTCACCTGCGACCTGGTTGCACACAAACACACACACATGCACATGCACACACACACACGCACATGCACATGCACATGCACACGCACGCATGCACCCACACGCACATGCACACACACACGCACACGCACATGCACATGCACACGCACATGCCCATGGACACATGCATGGGCACATGCACAACAAAGACACATGCAGACACATGCACATGGATGGGCACAGGCAGGCAAGCATGCACATACGCACACACATCCAAGAACGCATGCATGCATGCATGCGCACACATACACACGGACCTCAGCGATTGCATGAGCTTCAACACAGCCGGACACAGACGAACACAGAGACACGCACACCCCCTCAACACCCCTTCTCCCTCATCTCCCACCCCATCCCTACCTCATCTCCAGACCCCGGTGACTCAACATGGTCCCCAGACAATCCCTGGTCACACACTCAACGCCCCCTCCCTACCTCATCTCCAGACCCGGGTGACTGCATGAGCTTGAGCACCGCCAGAGACAGCTCGTCAGCAGTCAGCTGTGCGCCTCCCCCCCACTGAGCCGCCTCCACACACGACTGGTGCAGCCACCTCAGGTCACGCGGGCCCTCCTCCCCCTCCTTACTCCCACCAACATCACCACCACCAGCACCATCAGCAGCGCTATAAGCACCAGCAGAGGCGTCAAAAGAAGCACCTGTAACAGGCGTTTCATGTGTGAAACGGTGCTCTGGCACCTGGGCCTGCACCTGGGCTGGCACCTGGAATTCCACCTGAGGTTCCACCTGATCCTGCGCCTGAGTGCGGGCCCTGGCCTCCTCCCAGAACTGCTTCAGCAGCTGGTTACCATCTAGACCTGCACCAGGCACCTGGAACGGCACGTCCGCCCCACACATGAAGGAATCTGAAGGTGTTTGATGCGGTGCAGAGCGGTGCTGGTGGTGGTGGTGCTGTTGGGAGCGGTGGGTGCGCTGCCAGGCGAGCAGCTGGAGGGAAAGTGAGGCTGCTCGGCGGATGAGGGGAAGTTCGGAGGAGATAAGACCAAGGAGGTCGGAAAGAGCAGATCTGGCGGGGACAACAAGGGAAAAGCGTGTGGACACGATACAATTATGAAAAATACGTTCATGTTGAGTCGTGAGCAGTTGAGTGTGAAGAAGACTGCTTGGCGGAGAAGGAAGGATCCAAAGAAACAAGACCGAGGGGTATGGAGAGATGAAGTTGGAGGGTGAGGGAGCAACAGGGCATGGACAGGAAGAGGACGAGAGGACGAAGGAGTGAGTGAGAGGTGAGGAAGGCGATGCAAGTTCAGTTGAGGGATAGAAGAATGAGAGGTGGGAGCTGGAGTCTGATGCACGAGTTGCATTGCATGCTTGCTTGCTCCCATGCCTTTCGATACAGCAACAACACTACAGCAGCAACCACGAGACGAGACCTGATTACTACGCATGAAACTCCACCCGCCCTATGCTTTCTACATCTGAATGGGAGAGGAGAGCGAATCTGCCTCACTCAAGGCCCTGGCAAGGCCATCAGGACCTACGACGAAACCTGACCTGAGTACCCACCTGAACTGAACATGCAATCACACCCATCCATCAACATAGAGGCACACCTTATGCTGCCCAGATCTGCATCCGAGAACGAATCTGTCTTGCTGCCGTGTTTCTCACGACAGCAACAACACACAAACATGCGACAGGACCTAATTAGTCAACATATAACGCCACCCACCAACCTTATGGTGCCCAGATCAGCATCCGAGAGTGAGTCTGCCTCACTCAATGCCCCGGAAAGACCATCAGAACGGCCTCCATCCTCCCCTCCCTCCCCTTCCCCTGCCTGCTTCGCCCGCCGTGCTCTGAGCTGGTGGTCAATGCAGTCAAACGCCGCCCCTGCCGCCTCGTGCAGGTCGGCAGAAGAGACCTCCGTGGCGAGCAATGATTGGACGGCCACTAGGAACGACTCGTATGCCTCCCGAACACTAGCGGGGGCTGTGGGAAATGGGGGAAAAGAAGGGGAAAGGAAGGGAAAGGAGGCAGATGGGGGGAGGGGGACGGTAGGCGGGACAGTGAGCAGTGATTGGACCGCCATTAGGAACGACTCGTATGCCTTTTGGACACTAGCAGGGGCTGTATGAAATGGGAAAGGGAACGGGAGGAAGGGGAAAATGGGGGCGGATGCGAGAGATTGGACAGCCACTAGGAACGATTCATACGCCCCTCCAATACTAGCGTGGGCCGTTAGGAACGTAAGAAAGAAGTTCGAAGAAAGGGGAAGGTAGAAGCGAGTTGGGGGGTCGAAGGGTGGGAAAAAGGGATCTGTGCATATGCCATGCCCCATGCCTCATGCCTCATGCCTCATGCCTCATGCCTCATGACTCATGACTCATGCCTCATGTCCCCCGCCCCATGCCTAATATGTGCACTGCACCACGCCTCCTACAGAATCTCATAGCAGCAAAACAATCGTGATCTTGTGTCTTACGAATCTGTTCAGCGTCCCCATGGATGTCGCATTCTTAGCATGTCTTGAAGAGCTCTCATCATTCCCGCTGTGCCATGCCATGCGCACGGCACTTCTGAGAATTCTCAAAAGTGACACGAGGATCACGAGTAACAGCAGTACCAGTCACAGGCACAGCGAATAGACAGTATTCAGAAACAGCTCCGCGATACCCGGCAACAACTCACCTTTCTCCCAATCAGGAACTAGTCGCTGGGCCAGTGTCGTGGCACCTACTGCTGGTGCCACGTGGCCTGCTTCTGCTGACGTGGCGCCAGCTGAGCTGCTTCAGAATCAAGACGAAGGCCATGGGAGGGTGTGGGAAGGATAAATGTGAGAAATACGTACCACAAGAAGGTGAGCTTTTTGATAAGTTTATCGCATGGCAAGTGGAAGGAAGCAGACGGCGTGAGTCTTGGGATCAGAACGGCGGTGCAGTCATGCATCAGTAACTTTTGCACAGGCTTCCATCTTAACGCAGAGTGCTGGTCTGCTAAATCTGAGTCATGCAGTTTACTTCACTTATTCTTTACACTAATTTTGTTAGATTCTCTGTTTCCCCCATGGTAACTACCTTTCCGTACCTTCGCAACGCGAGAGCCTGTTTTCGCTGCAGCAGCTGCTGATCCACGTCGAAGGGACGCCCGCCATCTCGCACCAGCACTCGCAGCGTCGACGTCACTCGCGGGACCTCCAACGACGTGCCTACAATTTCGCCGAAGGCCATTGTTACCAGGCCAGCGAGTTGCGAATCCGGTAAGCGAACGTCGCGATGAGGAGCAACAGCTGCGCTGGGGTACGCGACAGATGCGATTGATGTATGATAGAAGTGCGATTCGTAGCTATACTAATAGAGGTGTGGGACTACAAATGGTAGCTGTGCGACTGTGAACGACAGGTGTTATGCGGCTAAACGGCAGCTATGCGACTATGAAGGACAGCCGGGCGACTATGACACTTCTGCGGGTGAAAGAAGTGTAGCTCTAACGGCGGAGATTGGACGAATCGCGACACGAATTTGGCTCTGCAACTCGTGATTGATAGAATAGAGAGATTAATGTAAGCTAGCAGAGATGCGAGGAGATGGGAAGGAAAGGGACGACGTCAGATACGTGAAGGAAGCGCAATGGAATGAGGGGCAGTCAAGAGACGAATCTATTGCAGACAATGAATAATTGCTGCAATGAGAAGCGTAAAATCCTTGAGTTTCAGTTCGTAGTGGACTTGGTTGAGTGCACTTTGGGTTGCTGAAAGATTACCTAGATCCGCGTTTCTAAAACTGCGTGTCATCGCACCCGACAGTTCGCGACCCGATCATGCTAGCCTCGTGTCGAATCGGCCAGTACCTGTCGAGTTGACATGACGGTCAAAAGCGTGTGCGATCACATGGTGGCGAACGCCTACCATTTCGTGGAGGGAAACGAACCTGTCAGATCGCAGGAGTGCAATTCTCAACGAGGTCCCAAAGATTCGTCGGTCCACTCGACAAGTCGTCGCAACCTGGTGTCGCTGACACGAAGAGGGAATGAGTTTCTGTAACCCGAAAATACGATACAATCGCATGTTAAAAAAAAAACACATAAAAAAATCGTACTCGGGAATTTCAAGGCTCCAGACTGAACCACCCCAAAAGCTCGACAAAACCCTGCTTCGGCCCTGGGTGCCACGATCTGCCGCTGACATGTGTCACATCAAATGCGACCTCGCTCTCTACGTTCCAACCAAAATCCGTTTCGAGTTACGGGAAAAACGAGCTGATTCCAAGTTATATTTGTATTTGGTACCTCCCTAAATACCTATATAGAAGCATTTCTAGGGTAGTTCCACGTGCCGGCACTTACTGAAGTACGACGAGTCGACCGAGCGTGCCGGTACAGGATCTAATCGAAACGTTTGCACGTCTTTCGGGGCCGTTTAAGTTCTCATCGCTCTCCTCTTAGCGCCATTTTGAACCCCCACGCTTTCCGTAATCCACCAGGTGCGAATGCCACCCTGCGAATGCCACTCTGCGAGTGCGTTGCCTTGCGGCTTAGTCTAACGTAGCCCCCCCCTCCCCCCCGCCTTCCCGACCGCCGCACGTACTCATCCCTGCCGCGATCTACTCATCCTCACCGCTCATTCGTTTCCCCGTCGCCCTGATCGACACCCAACCGTCAACCCTTTTCCCCCCGTCACCATCCTTCCCCACTCGCCCTGCTCGTTGCCACGCCCACGCGTCGCTCCCACATCCCCTTTCGGATCGACTTAAAATATGTGACTTCTGAGGCGATTGGAAAGTCGTTCGTAAATCCCCTCGTCGTCGTGCTCCTCCTTTGTCGCAAAATTGTGTAGTCCTTTGCGACCCCCTCTCAACCGTACGACTCCCGCTCTCTACTTGCGACGCCTCCCCTCTCCCTTGGGACTCTCCCCTCTCCGCGCGCCTCCTTCGCCCTGAAATGATGCCCCCAACGTTTTTCTCCTTCACCTTTCCCCTCCCTTTTCTCCTTCCCCTTCTCCTCCCCCTTCGCCCTCACGTTTCCCCTCTCGTGTCCCGTCCTCCGTCCCCCTCATTTTTCCTCCGCTCCCCCCTCCCTCCCCTTTCCCCTCTCCCTCCCCTTTTCCCTCTCCCTACTCCCTCTCCTTTCCCCCACCCATTTTCCCTCCGCTTTCCCCTCCCCAATCTTCCTCCCCGTTCCCCTTTCTCCCTTCCCTTTCCCAAGTGCTTCCCCCATCGCTTTTCCCGCTCCCCTCCAAGCTTCAGTGCACACAACCATACACGGCTAGGAGCGTCATGGGCAAGTGATGGCAGTGGATCAGTCCAAATCATGCCCCCCTCCCATCTCCCATCGCTTTCCTGATCCCCAACCCCTTGTCCCTTCCATTCCCTCTCCTATTTCAGCTACGGTGGTCACGCACAGAGGCACACACACACACACACACACACACACACACACACACACACACACACATACACGCATACACAATGAGGAGTTTCATAGGCAAGGTGGTATCAAGCAAGATGCAGAAGAGTGTGGTGGTGGCGGTGGATCGGTTCAAGGCGCACAGCAAGTACCCCAAGGTGGTGCATTCCACCAAGAAGTTCATGGCGCATGATGAGAGCAACGAATGCGCCATGGGCGACCAGGTGAGGCGGGCTTATGATTGTGTGGGCATGAGCATGAGTGTGAATATGGGCAGTGATCAGGGTTTCACGCACAAGTTCCTCCCAAGCCAAGGTGGTGCATTCCACCAAGAATTTCATGGCTCATGATGAGAGCAATGAGTGCTCCATGGGCGACCAGGTGAGCCGCGCTTGAAGAGCATGAAGTTATGGGCATGAGCATGGGCATGGGCATGGGCATGGGCACGGGCACGGGAGTGGGCATGGGCATGGGCATGGGCATGGGCATGGGCATGACAGGAGCATGAGCATAACCACATCATGTGCATGAGCATGAGCATGTGCATCAGTATGGCGTGGTGTAGCAGTGACTGGACACTAACTCACAGCAAGTACCCCAAGCTGGTGCCCTCAAACCTGCCTCAACCCCATGCCATGCTACCTTTCCCCACCATACCAGGTGTGCATCGAGTCGCCGCGGCCGCTGAGCCAGCGCAAGCACTGGGTGGTCACAGTAAACTTATGTGCTAAGCTGTCCTGCCTGCCTCTTCTTGCCCTGCTCTGTCCTCTTGCCCCCGGCTTCCCTTTCCCTCCACACAGGTGCGCATCGAGTCGTCACGGCCACTGAGCAAGCGCAAGCACTGGGTGGTCACAGAGGTGCTTCGCAAGGCAAGAATATTCAATATTGAGGACACCAAGAGACCAGCCGTGGCTGCTGCTGCTGCTGATGTTGGTGCTGCTGGTGCTGCTGGTGCTGCTGCTGGTGATGGTGCTACCGCTGCTGCCATTCGTGCTGCCATGGCTGCTCAAACTGGGGCAACCCCTATTTCTTCCAATGTGCCATGATTTCCCTTGGCCGGAGCATATAGAAAATGAATGGTACCCGTATTCTCGAAATTCAGGTTACATTCTTTCGAGCATTCGTTCGGCTCTCAATCCCCTTCAACAAACCACAGTCATGCTACATTCTGATTGCTGCCTGTATCGCTGCTGGTTGGAATATGAAGCGCAACAATTTGGGCCCAATAAACCATAAAAAAAAGATTGTGAAAGCTTGCTTTCTGCAACTTGTGAAGGCATCGTGCTTCATTTCATATGGGTATGAGTACATCAATCTCGTCCAAATTCCAATGATAACTACGATTAGAGCAAGAATCTTAGAGACAATTACTACATGGGTGGGAGGGTGGGAAACTCAAACTTAGAAATTGAAAAGAAGAACGTGGGTGAGCCCAAATGGCCTCAACCCCCTCTTGTGTAGCCAAAAGAGGGCGAGTAGCGATGCGACGCTGCCTTTGCTGCGTTGGCAATCGCTACACTTTCACTATACACAATTTTTGAAAAGTGTTACACACTTATAAAATTTTACATACGGTAATGTGAAAGCTTGCTTTTTGCAACTTGTAAAGGCATCGTGCTACATTCCATATGGGCCTTCTGAGACATGCGAGTGGTCGGTCGGCGATGCCGCTGGATAGACAATTGGTGCTGTTTCGGGGAGGGAGCCCGTGTAGGATCCTGAATCAGCTGGGAGGTAGCCACGAGCTGGTCGTGGGCGACGGTGACGTATGTTGGAAACAAGTAATTTAACGCTTTTGTCGTATCGAAGCTTCGACACGAAAACGGAGCTGACTACAGCGAACAAACACTCGAGTCAACCAAAGCAACCGTCGAAGGTTACGCGAAGGTCAATGGTCTCCGACCTTTGACTTGACGAAACGTACAGTGCGACAGCAAGGACACATAACTGACTCGTTAGTGAGCAGTTACCCGAGTCGGCACTGTATCGAACCGCAACAGCAAAACAGTTAAAATAGAACCTTTCATATTCCTTGTAATCATATAAAAGGCTTGTATCTCTTTGCTATTAATCAACTTATCTTGTTCTCACACACCAGTACAAGGTGGTACAAGGCAACTTTTATTAAACGCTTCCGCAATTACATCTCTACGTCAACACCTGATCTTAGTCCTGAAAGATCCTAAGGGCTTTTCTCAGCCCAACATGGTATGAGAGCAGACAGGGCAAGATCATCTCCTTTTAAATAACCTATAACAACGCAAGACATGGCAACACGAAAGGAGAGGAGCTCCTCCAACGGATCTCTCGGTACTACTCCTACTCCACCTCCAGCTTCTTGCCTACAGACAGAAGAAGGCACAGCTACAAGACCAGCTGCGGAATCAACGGAAACTCCCGGAAACCAAGCAGCAAGCGTCGACCCAAGTATGATGGAGAAATTTTTCTCCTTCATGTCCTTCTACGAGCAACACTAGCAAGCAGCTCCTGCGCAATCAAACAACAGCGACAACAACAACAGAGCAACTCCGATGAGCCTCGACGGTTCATCTTATGCGCGTGGAAATCAACAACAACCTACCTTTGCCCCGTACGAGCCTCAACGCGGCTCCGTCAGTTTCGCGCCGCAGCCGCAGTCTTCACCTGGACAAGAGAAGACACTGGACGCGCTTCAGGTGCAATCGCAATTCGCACACGTCCTAAAATTGGAAACATCAACACTCTTCGACGGGAAAGATTTTTATACCTGGTCATTCGAATTTGAGCTGATGATGGAGGGCGCGCAAATCCTCGGATTCTTCGACGGGTCCCTGCCATATCCGGCAGACGGGACACAGTACGACAAGCAGCAATATACGTATCAGTCGCTGATGGCGTATACGATACTTCTTCGAAACTTAACGCCAAACGAGCAACAGAACATCCGGTCTTATAGAGGATACGGCAACTCCGCCGAGCTGGCATACGACCATCTGAAGAGCCTGTATCAAGCAACAGACAGCGTTAACCAGAGTCGTCACATGGCACAGTTGACAACACTGGAAATGAAACCCGGCGAAAAGGGAATGGCTTATATTAGCCGTTGTCGCGGACTGCGCGACAGACTCCTTCGATGCGGAGGGTCAATTTCGGAAGAAGCATTTGTAACAGTCATCATCACCGGTCTTGGTCCTCATTGGCGCTCCACTCGAGCACTCCTTCAAGCTCATGGGAAGATCTCCGAAGCAGCTCGCCGAAATTCACGCCGAACAGCAGGATATGGACCTGCACGAAGAACGACACAAGAAGAAAGCGTTAGCACAGGAATTCGCCTTTCATACTCAACGACGCTACAACAACAACAACAACAACAACAACAACAACAACAACAACAACAACAACAACAACAACAACAACAACAACAACAACAACAACAACAACAACCGACACAACAACCGACAAGCACAACAGTACGTCCCACCGTTTTGTCATCTTTGCAAGACGTCCGGTCATCCGCGCACACATTGCCCGAATCAGCAGCAGTCGACAACACCGCAACGTCAACTTCGACCTTCAAGCAGTCAAGTAGCTTCTACGGAGGCGCATCCCACCAGTAAAGTGCAACCTTCAACATCTTCAACATCGCAATCTGCACAAGGAACAAGAAACATCGTTAGCTGCATGACAAGAATGACGGACTCCTGCATCACCGAATCACCACCCCACCACTCACCAGAAGACCAACTCGACGAAATGACTCCTCGCCGCGAATCACTGGAACCCAACCCGACGTATGCAGCCATCGCCCAGAGCGAGCCGTCCGGTCAAGACACTTGGTTCTTGGACAGTTGCTGCGGGCAGCACATGTGCTCTTCAAGTCGCTTCGTCCAACAAGAACATCAACTTCAGCGCGAAGTCGTCATCACTGTGGCCAACAACCAGAATCTGCACACACGACGACAAGGAGTAGTACAACTTCAGTCCCGAGAAACCAACGTCATCCTACAAATGTCTAAAGTCCTGATTGCAGAAGGACTCAGCCATAACTTACTGAGCGTCAGCCAACTGATGGCAAAGGGTATTCATCTTGAAGCAGACAGCACCACTCAGGAGTTCAAGTTATTCCACTGCAGAGGAGGAATCTACATCGGCAGAGCAGTCTTGAAGAATAACGTCTTCGTCCTCGATTTTGTACCAGATCAAGGAACCGCCGATAGCGACGCCATCGTCAACTTCGCCTCTTTGACGCACCCACCGGACCTCGATCCCGACTTCAGTCCTGGAGGATTCTGGTATTCACATACCATACCTGAAGCAGAAAGAACACGGGCATTAGCAACAATCCGGCAAGAAGAAACAACATCGACAGCAGCAGAGACAACATCGGCAACAACAGCAACATCTACACCACCAATCGTAAGTTCTTCGACGGCACCCTTCATCGGCGACACTCCACCGACTCCTGCGCAGCAGTTAGCTCCCACTCCACGAGAAGTTCACAGAAGCGCCAACTTCACCGCCGCCTTTTACTCCAACTCCGACCTGTACAGGCGCTCACCCGGACATCGTGCAAGCTAATCCCTGTGGCACGAACGACTGGGTCATCCAAGCAACACCACGTTAAACAATACAATCAAGGCAGCAGTGCTTGACAAATACTCACTCCTTCTATCCGACGGCAGAGAACTCCAACGAGTCCATGGAACATGTTTTACCTTTCCCGAAGCCGACTTACCGCATCAACCGTTCGTCTCTCACCACAATCCAAGCGCGCCGGCCTATTCACCACTTGAGAAAGTATACAGCAACATTCTGTATACTCACGAACAAGGACAAGGAGCATATAATTACGTAATCACTTTCATCGAGTCCGCCACTCGTTACGTCTGGCATCTTAATCTTCCAAGTCGCGACATGGCCTTCGAAAGCCTTCGTCGCTTGGCTACCTGTGGCAGAATGAGAATCAGGAGCAAAGTTGAAAAGCTTCCAGTCTGACGGAGGAGGAGAATATCAGTCCCAGAGGTTCAGACAGTACCTCGCAGAATGAGGCATCAAGCGACTCATCTCGCTTCCCTACGCCCATCAACAGCAAGGCGTGGCAGAACGGATGAATAGAACTCTCCAGAACACCATGCGCAAATTGCTGCGTGGCATGCGACTGCCCAATCACTAGTGGCCTAAGGCGATGGACCACGCTGTCATGCTGCACAACTTGCTTTCGTCGTCGTCACTTCCGAACAACGCATCACCGCACCTGCTGTGGACAGGAAAGCTGGGCAACACAAAAATGTTACGAGTCTTCGGGTGCATGGTACAGTACTGCCCGCACACTGCAAGAGCCGGCAGATTTTCTCAACGCGCACAGTGGGGACTACACCTGGGCATCAAAAAGCATTACAACGCATGGAAGATTTTTTACGTCCACTCGAAGGAAACAGTAGCAGCACGTGATGTCATCTTCTACGAGCGACTCACACTTCAAACGTACCTGGACAACCTGGCAGCACACCGAGACCTCACGGGCGGCTTCCGTGGCAACCGAGCCTTCTCTTCAGCAGCAGACAAAGCTGACTGGGACGAGCAAAACGTGGACAACGCATCCGAAGAAGCAGGACCACTCCCATACTGCTCCGTGCCCATCCCGATGGATGACGAAAATCCTCGCGAAAGTGTCTACGCCGAAACATATTTCGACTTCGCTGACACCAGTTACGTTACACCTCAACCGGTCGACACCAACATCTCCGAACGCATAGGACCAAATTTCTTACCAGACCCTGAAGCAGGAGACAAAGCAGCTTATCCAGAGGACACAAATCTCCCCCGCTACACACAGAGTGGCCTGCAGATACTGGGACTCGTCACCGCCGTCCACGGAGCAGAACCACCTAAAGAGCCTGCTACAATTCAGCAGGCCCTGGGGGGGGAACATAGGGAAAAATGGCGTGAAGCCATGGACAAAGAGTTAAAGGCGCTACAAGAACGCAACACTTGGAAGGTCGTGCCTATCGGAGTGGCATGCAACAAAACTATCCTCATGGGAAAATGGGTTTTCCGCGTGAAAACA